ACTCCCGTGACCCCCTTCTCCTGGTATTCACGCCCTTGTGTTGTCCCTTTGAGTGTGAGCAGGAACTGTGACAGGTTTCTGGCCGATATAGTACGGTAATGGTGACAGAACACATGTAATTACACATATGTGGTTACATTACTAAGACTGTAAAGTCCATTCACCTCTGAGGAAACACATGGCCACCCGGGGAAGACCCATGTGGCAAGAAACCGAGGATGGCCTCTGGCTAACAGCTGCTAAAAATGGGGTCCTCACTCTGCAATCTACAAAGAGCCAAATGCTGTCAACAACCACACGTGCTCGGAAGCAGATCCTTCCCCAGTCAAGACTCGAATGAGATCACAGCCCTGACAGACAGCTTGACAGCTGCCTTGTGAGACACAGCTAAATCATTTCCTGACTCCTGACCCACAGACACTGAGAGACAATAAATGCGTGCTGCACGAAGCTGCTAAATTTGTAATAACATTGTTAAACAATAGGCAATTAATATACACCAAATGTCCAAGTGGTGAACAGATCAACTGTGCTGTTGATTTACCTGTACAATGGAATACTACACACTAGCAAAAAGTAATGGATTACTGATACCTGGTGGTGCTGGTGGTTCAGCTGCGCAGTCACATACAACTCTTACAACCCCATGGACTATAAAGCCCACCGGGACCCTGTGTCCATGGGATTTCCCAGAGAAGAACACCGCAGTGGGTTGCCACTTACTTCTCCAAGGGATCTTCCTGACCAGGGATCAAACCCACATCTCCTGCATTGCAGGCAGACTCTTTACTGCTAAGCCATATATATATACAACAATATAAAATTTCACTAACGCTATTCTGAGCAAAAGAAGTGAGACATACAAGATTATATACATTATGAATACACTCATGTGTAATTCTAGGAGAGACAAATATAATCTATTAGTGGTAAAACTGCAGCTCAGATTTCCTGAGGCCAAAGGCTAGGATTTTCCTGGGAAGCAGAGTAAGAGAATGTTTGGGAATACTGGAATTGTTTTGATCTTGACTGTGATGTGGTTAAACAGGTATATATACATTTGTCAAAACTGACCACAACACATCTATTTGAATTCCACAGTAAAGCTTTGGGCCACAAAAACTCGGTCACTCAAAACGCTATTAACATACGGATTTTAAGTCAGGATAGGGGCAACGTTTTGGGGACTGGACAGTAACAGGAGGGACGCCAAAGAGGTTTCTGAGGTCCTGGTTATGTTTGATTGCTTGATCTGAGTACTGGTTACACATGATTGTGTTCACTCTGTGAACATTCACCAAGCTGTACACATAATTGGTGGACTTCCTGGGTGTATGTTAAACACCAATAAAAAGGTGGTTTTTTTTTTAATTTTAAAGGCTAGGGAGTCATGCTAAATTACACTAAAGAGGCAAATCAATGCACTCCCTATTTCTCCATTGGATCCTGAATTTGTTTTTTACTGGAAACATGTGAATGTGGTCTGTATTAATAATATTTTATCAATACCAAACTTCCTGTGTGATAGTGGTATTATGGTTATGTAGAAGAATAACCTTACTCTTATGAGAGACAAGGTGAAGTATTCCAGAATGAAATACCATGTCTGTAACTAACTATCAAATCCTTCCCAAAGAAAAGAAAAATATAAAGAGACTGAAATAGAGCAAATTCAGCAAAAGGTAAACAATGCATCTTGCAAGCTTTTATGAGAGTTTTATAGGACTTCTCTGTATTATTCTTTCAACTTTTCTATAGGTTGAAAACTTTTCAAAATAAAGAGTGAGGGACAAAACATCTTGTTTGAACTTGTTATTCAAGAGTTCAGTAATCTTCCAAAACTGCATGCAGAGAACTGGAGAAGGAAATTAACATTCACAACATGAGCACTTAAAATGTACCACATACTCTTAACATCTGTAACTTCAGTCAACCCTCAAAGCAACCTTCTAGTTAATAATTATTACTCCCATTTTACAGAGAAGAAAACTGAGGCTCAGAGAGGTGGAGAGATAAGTCCGAGAGTGAGTGAGTGAGTGATGGAGTTCAAACCAAAGTCAATCAGGAAAACAAGCCTTTCTCTCCATAACATCTTTGCTGTACTCTTCTCCCTTTCCGGCTTCTATGTTTTTTCAGTCCAAAATTGACTATATCAAAGGATATAGTCTATATATCTTATATATATGTCTATATATATGTCAAAGGATATACACTATATCCTTTGATATAGTTGATATTGGAGTGAACATGAACAGACTCGAAACCTACATTCCGTAATAATTCTCAATACTCAACAATCATTAAACCATCGGATTGAACCATGCCTCTGCTCTTCACTAAAGACAGAAAAGCTGGTGGGAAAGTACAGAAATAGGAATAACATTTCCTGTTCCTATGGGCCATAACATGTACAGACTAAAAGGGACTTTGATAAGAGATTAGCCTGGCAAAACAGAGTAATATGGAGTAAACACAACAAGAATATGAAACAATAAATGCAATTCCAACAGACTGTTTTGAAGACAGACTAAAACAATTATACCCTTATGAAAAAGCAAGTACATCAGTGAAATCTAAGTTACAAAGGACACCAAGGATAATCACTAGTTAGGGTATTCCTTTAAATTTTAAGGCGATTACTTAAGAGCAAATAAAACTTTAGTGAACTTCTGGTCAACGTATGAAAACTCATACTCCCAAAAATATTACAACAGGGACTGAGGAAAGGCTTAGATGGCTTGTGAGTGAAACTCCAGAGTTTACTACATGGAATAATAGATAACACACTATGTCAGGCACTGTTCTAAAACAAGTTAATTCATTTAATCCTCAGACCAGTGCTATGAGATAGGCACTAGTATTATTCTTATTTTACAGATGGGGAAACTAAGGCCAAAGATGTAACTTGGCCAATACCAACACAGTGTAAGCAGTGGGGCTAGGATTCTAGCCCAGTGGGGATGGTTTCAGAGTCCATACTTTTAACCACTGTTATACTGCCTTTCAAAGAAAGTGTTGGTTATCTACCCTCAATCTTTCAAAACCAGAGACTGATGCCACAAAGCTAACAAACTTTCTAGGAGAGACAGAATACTCGCTCAGTCCCACAGGTGTGATGCCTTCTTCTCACACCCAAACCAGGTTTGGGGGAATATATAAACAGTTCTTTCAGTTCCACTGTGTTTTACTGGAGAAATGGCAAAACCACTGATCAGAACTAGAAAATGAAATGTGAAGCAACTGCTAAAGAGAGTTGGTTCACTTAAAATGCATGCATTTGCAGCTTGTTGTCAGACAGGGACAGAATCTGATGTGAAACATTCAAGTTTTGCCCCAGTCTGCCAGCATTTTCTGATGCAATCCCATCTCTACCAGCTTTGGAAAGGAGGGCAAAGGAGAAGCAGAGTTGAAAACCAAACAGAGTCTGACCAAGTCCCCTTCAGGACCTTTGATCCCTTCCACGTGCACAGAGAAGACAATTTCCAGAACCAAAGGACTCCCTGGGTGCTAAAAAGCCTCCCAGTGGCAAAAATTCTAGTAACCTTCACAGTTACAATAAAATTACATATTCTGGCATCCTTTAATCCCAGTCTATAGGCATTCCTAATATACAACAGTTCAGAGAAGCCCAGATTCTGAGGAGCCTAAGTATTTCAGCAAGCTAAGTGGGTTAAGGCAAGAATGAAGAGTCCTGCCTCCTCTAACTCAGGACACCCCCCCATACTCCAGAATTTTAGACAGTGAGAAGACTAAAGCAGCCCTCTTTATTTCTCATGTTTTACAATGCAGACATCTCTCTGAATCATTCGCCACGCTAGCGGAAGCTGCTCTGGGGAACACGCTACTCCTCTAAGTGCAATTCCTGTAATAGACTTATCATAAAGAATGAAAGAGTAATAAGAAACACTAAGTGGTATTCTTCTGCCAAGGAAGTGAAATACCAGTAGGCGGCTGAAAAGTCCACAGGTGTTTCAAGGAGGTGAGAAATGAACGATGAGTCCAGGCTGACACCATTTTCTTCCTCCTCTGTCCAATCCTAACTAAACTTACACGTGCAGGACTAACTAGTGGAGTCACACACAAATCCAGGCTTAATCAGGCTCGTTACAGACCCTGCAAAATGGCGCTTAATAGCCTGTACTTCATAAAGGTTGTAATGAGCATTAAACGAGATAATAAGCGTAATTTGTCCTCGGCATGATAGCACACACTCAGTAATTGTAAAGTACCGCTTACCCCCAGTCCACCCCACCTTTGGACTACAAACGCGTTCAGAAGCCTTATCATCCACTGCTTCCTGACAGGGATGAGCACTGGTCTTCAAGGTCCCCGAACTGGAGTGGGATTTGGTTGCATCTGTGACTGAAAGGCTAGAGTCTTTGGCTGAGAAAACCAAACTAGGCAGCAAGGACACATTACCAGCCATTAGCTCGGTGGCCTGTTGTTTACAATGACTCCCCTTCCAACCAACGCACTGAGAGAGTCCGAGTATATTTCCCACCCTTCAACTTAGCAGGGGAAGCGCAAAGGTGACTGAAAACTAAGAGGCTGGCAGCAGGGTGGCCCGGGAGGCTGAGGCTGCGGAGAAGTGGGAACCCTGAAGGAGTCAGGCCCCTCCCGGGACCGAAGGGCCGGGAACGATCCAGCCTCTCACCCCTCTCAAGCAGGAGCCCTCGCAGCTCAAGGCTGGGGGATTTTTTAAGGGTCCCGCCACCGCTTCAGCCAAGCACAAGTGAGACCCCAGGGGCCGGCAGGCGGGAAGGGGGGGAGCCGCGGGCGCCTCCAAGCCCCAGCTCGGGAATGTGGTCAAAGAGGGGTCACCGGGGGAGGGGCCGGGAGGCGAGGACCTGGCGAGGGGCGGGACCCCGGAGGTGGCTAGAGGTCGCGGGCGCCTGCTTCGGAGGCTCAGGGTCCCCACCGGGCTCCCAGCCACCCGCCAACCACCCCCCACTCCAGCGGGGGTCCCCGCCACCACAACTGGGCAACCTCACTCCCCTTACCTGGCTCGGCTGCTCAGCCTGCTCCGAGGACGCCATCTTTCTGAGGCCTGATTAATCTATTGCCGTTGGGCGAGGCTTCTCCCAAGCGCCCTCGCTCCTGCTCTCTGCCCAGACTAAAGTAGCAGGAACTGAGCTGTCGATGGGGGACGGAGCGGGGCGGGTCACTGTGGGAGAAGAGGGGAGCTCCCACCACAGGGTCAATATGCGCTATTTCTATTAGGTCTCTCCTTTACAGCAAAACCGAAGTCTATCCTTTTTGCATCCTTATATATTTACTGGATTAAATCTCTGTCCATGGGGACATGTGCTCCTGCTAAGTTGCTCCAGTCGTGTACGACTCTGTGAGACTCCATAGACGGTAACCCATGTAGGGACACGCTAAGTAGTTAATTAATGAACGTGTAGAGACTTGGAAATTAATTAATCAATTGATCATTTGGTTCAGTATCATTTGTTGAGTTCTTACTATTGGCTATTTGGTAGGTGCGAGAAATAAGATACAAGACTCAACTTCTGCTCTCAAGTCCAGGCCAAATACACACACACACACACACACACACACACACACATATATACTCACATAATTAAAACATCTTGGAAATAGGAGTCTGATAACCGTCTGCAGGTCTATTAGAAGAACTCAGAAGGCGAGTGCTTTTGGGAGAGGAAGGATTCTACAAACCGTTATTACTTTATAGTGGTTGAGTTGTTAGATTTTTAAGCCAACTGTGACATTACACTGAAGAGCTGTATACATTAGAAATATCAGTCAGTTCATATCAGTTGTGTTTTATCAGTGATGGTGTATTCAAAAGCATGGCCTCAGTTAACAATTCTTCCTACCAAACAATGTTTTAAATGTATTTTTCTTATGAGATAATATCTGATTTCCTTTAATAAAATATGAAAGGGATTGACTCTGAATTAATACAGGCTGATAATTATTCCTTCCGTTCAGTTCAGGTCAGTCGCTCAGTCATGTCCAATTCTTTGCAACCCCGTGGACTGCAGCAGGCCAGGAATAACAGGTATAGCAAATTATTCCTTGTTTATGTAAAATGCCCCCCTTTTAAGCCAGGAAACTTTTTTATATTTTTTTTATTACTTTATTTTTGTGTTGGTTTTTCAGGGATGAAAAACACAGACTTTTCCCTAAGTAACAGTATTAGAACAAGAACAAATATGTTGTCAAGCAGCATCTGGACAATCTCAACAGTGATGAGATTTCCCCTTCTCTCTCTGATTTGAGATCATAATGTTTAACCTAATATTTAAGCATTTCATTCCGAGGTCCCAACCCAATTTACAGAGCTGAAGCAGAGAATCGAATGCGTGGAAATGTGGCAGTATTTCATGCTTCTCTGTTTTGTCTTCAGCAAGATTGAAAACTACACTCATCAATTTTTAAAACTGATTTCCTTCAGATCAGCGTGAAGTTTGGGACATTTTATAGATCTTTTCAGGTTAGAAAGGAAAAACAAACAGTACAAAGTAAAATGACACTGCTTTAAGTATTAATATCATGCATCTGTATATGCAAAGAGGCTTCCCAGTCGGCTTAGCTCAGTTCATTTGCTCAGTAGTGTCCTACTCTTCGCGACCCCAGGTGACTCAGTGGTAAAGAATCCGTCTGCAATGCAGGAGATCCCCGTTCGATCTCTGGGTGGGGGAAGATCCCCTGGGAAAGGAAATGGCAACCCACTCCAGTATTCTTGCCTGGGAAATCCCATGGACAGAGGAGCCTGGCGGGTTACAGTCCAGGGGTTCCCAAAACAACATACACGGAGGAAAGAGTTCAAGGAAATAATTCAAGGAAATATACACGCCTGTCCTTCATACTGCAAAATTAACCCCTACTGACCTCATTTTGAACGGGCAAATGCAACTCCTTAATATTAGGTAGGAAAACAAACAAAAAACACCTCCTGGACTGAATTGCGCGACCTAAGTTGGCTTTGAACCCACAGACTACAGCTCCCAGCATGCCCCCGTGAGCCGCAGGTGATTAGGAGCAACTAGAACTCCATCTCCCGGCGTGCCTTGGTCCCACGCGTGATTTGCTACGGAGAGAACTACATTTCCCGGCATGCCGTAGGGGTGGAGTTGGGAAGGACTCCCGCTCTCCAGCCTCCCTGACTTCTCCTTGTCGGTCCGGTCCCTCCCTGAAGAGGATGGAGGTGGCCAGCGGCGTTGCAGCTCCGGAACCCGGCGAGATCCGGGCTCTAAAGCAGTGTCTGCTGCGCCGCAACAGAAGCCGGGAACAGCATGGCGTAGCGGCCTCTTGCCTCGAGGAGCTGAGGAATAAGGGTAGGCACGGGACCGGGGCGAGGGCTTGGGGGGCTGGAGCCCGGGATGAAGGGAGCCAAGGGCAAGGTGAGGATGTCCGGCGGGGCTAACCGAGATCAAGAAAGGCGACTTGGGGCTTCTTGTAACTCAAGTGGAGGAGCCTTGGGATAGATATGACTCACGTGGGTATAGCGAATTATCAGTTTCACAGCGTTTGTGCCAAGCGCTTTAACTTAATTTACTTTATGTGAGATTCATATGGTGGAAAGGCAGACGGAAGCAATATGCAAATGAATTAAAACAGACTCTACTTCGGTGTCTTGCCTCCGGTGACTCAGATTGTGGATCCAACCCAGCCTGGTGTATTCCTGCCTCTCGGGCTCCCTAAGGTGGTACTGGGGTCCCCAGGTGAGCCTACGGCGAGGTGGGGGCGGGTTTCCACAGCCAGCTCTAGCAGGTACCTGTGCGGTAAAGAGGGAGCCGCTACCCACCGGCCCAGAGGTCCAGACAAGGAACAGCTGCTGTGAGTGACCTAGCTTTCAAAAGTTCTGAGCCTCATACAGTTACTAGTTGCCTGACCTTGCAGGTAACCATCTGTTGATCCCCAATTTTCTCATAGGCAAAGTGGCTATATTTCCAGCCCTGCTTCTTTGAATTGTTGGGACTCTCCAAGGAGATGACATATTCAAATGACTTACAAGTCTTTAGCCTGTAGCAATAAATTGTTTACCGAAAGAAGTTCTTTAGGTTAAACGTGTGAGTCATCTGTAGGCAGGTAGTGAAGATGTATGTCTGCCTGTTCAGAGCTTCCTCCCAGAGTCACTCAACCCAGCCGGTATCAGATAGAAGTCTTTCAGAGACACAGAATCAGCCAAAGCACTCTAATGCTTCAGTGTCATAGCTTTTGCCCTATAAGTGTTTACATATTTTTTCTTGGCGTGAGGGTTCTTAAGTTTTAGTGCCCCTTTAGTGCAGTTGCACTTGGCACAGAGGCCCATATAAGTGCTTGTGTTTCTGGAGCTTGGCCTATGCAGGGTTTGCTGGGTGCAAGAGGAGATTGCCCGATGATATTTGTAGTCTCTCGGCTACTTCTCTGCATGCTCTAGTCCCATTAGCATTTTAGGCATTGCCATCATTAGGCAAGTACAGACCTGCCCTGGACAAAACCTCTTGCCCATTGATCACACAGATGAAAAGTTCCTGTTACAAACTTCTGTCTTCTGCCTCCTTTATACTTTTCTATAGGTTAGTAAGACTGTGAAGAAGATACTGAAAAAACATATTTTTTTCTTTCTTTTTTAAAATTTTCTTTTTCTCTGGACACATGGGAGAATTTGAGTCATTTAGACCACTGAGAAAATGAACGAAAGACACTTATTCTCAAAGAATCAAATCAGACTTTTGTTGGTTGTTCATCCAAGGAAAGAATCGAGTGCCTCCTAATGAGGGTGTTGAGTAGCTGGAAGAAAAACGTTTTCAAGAGCCAGACTGTGTGGGTTTAAATGCCAGTTACTTACTGTGTGACCTTGAGCAAGTTACTTAACCTCTCAGAGCGTTGGATTTGACATCTGTAAAAATGGGAGTAATAATAGTACCTACCTTACAGGATTGTTATGAGATTAAGTACTGTATATGAAAAGCACTTCGTATAGTACCAGGCACATGGTAAATGTTGTATTAGTATTAGTGGTCATCATTATAGTTATTATTAGCTACCAGGGATTTTTCTAGGCTCTGGGGGCATACATACTGAGTACAAAGACAGATATAATTTCCCTATGGATATTTGTCAATTTCCAAATATTTTATTCCTCTCAGCTTGTGACATTCTGGCCATTGATAAGTCCCTGGCACCAGTAACCCTAGTCCTGGCAGAAGATGGCACCATAGTGGATGATGATGATTACTTCCTGTGTCTTCCTGCCAACACTAAGTTTGTGGTGTTGGCTGGGAATGAGAAGTGGACACACAATTCAGGTAAGAAATGCTGGCCGTACATACAGCATACCCTCCATCGTGATTCACTTTACTACGCGAGGCACCTGGTTGCTCTTTGGTTGGCTGTTTCAGCATTTATGCAGCAAGCGTTACTGAGCACCTTCTGTATGCCGGAGTGACGCTGAGTCGGGGGATGAAGATGAATGAGATGGGGTCAGGTCTCAAGTAACTCACGGACCCACAGCAACTAAAACACAGCAGGGCGGAGAGATCTGGGCCTCAGGTGGGGTCAGACTGCCTGATCTGAATCCCAGCTCTGCCATTTACTAGTCATGTGACCCAGAGCAAATTATCTAACTTCTCAGCCCCTTATTGAGATAGTAATTTCAGTACCTGTCTCCTCGGGTTGTTGTAAGGATGCAAGAACATAGTACGTATCAAGCCAGGGCTTCTCAGCAATGCTATTGACATGTTGGGCCAGGAAATTCTTTGCTGTGGGGGTGCTGTCCTGTGCATTGTAGGATTGCTGGCCTTTACCCACTAGGTACCAGTAGCATCTCTTCACCTTAATCGTGACAACCCAAAATACCTCTAGATATTGTCACATGTCTACAGAGGTGTGGTGAGCAGAATCACTCCCAGGAAAGAGCCACTGATAGAAAGCATTTAGATCTTATCTGGCATGCTGCTGCTGCTGCTGCTAAGTCACTTCAGTCATGTCTGACTCTGCGACCCCAGAGATGGCAGCCCACCAAGCTCCTCTGTCCCTGGGATTCTCCAGGCAAGAATACTGGAGTGGGTTGCCATTTCCTTCTCCAGTGCATGAAAGTGAAAAGTGAAAGTGAAGCCGCTAAGTCGTTCCCGACTCTTAGCGATCCCATGGACTGCAGCCTACCAGGCTCCTCCATCCATGGGATTTTCCAGGCAAGAGTACTGGAGTGGGGTGCCATTGCCTTCGCCGCTTATCTGGCATACAGTCAGATAAATCAGTATTAACTGTCACTACCATTACCGTCATCCTCACCATCAATACAAAGGGAACTAATATGAATGAACAAGGATCAAAAAGCTAAAGAAGTGTCTTGAGGAGAGTCCCCAGGCCACCAAAGTGTGGAAATCACCCTTCAGCAATGACTCGTTCCAACCACCTTTTTACTCGGACTCTAGGGACAGCAAATAGTGGCTGCAGCTCCTCCAATCAAGAATGAGACCTGAACTTTCCTGGTGATCCAGTGGCTAAGACTCCAAGCTTCTAATGCAGGGGGCCTGGGTTCAATCCCTGGTCAGCAAACTAGATCCCCAATGCTGCAACTAAGACCCTGTGCTGCCAAATAATTTAATTAAAAAAAAAAAAGAATGAGACTCATCCGGACATTTAGGGAGTTTGGGATGAACATGTACACACTGCTGTATTTAAAATGGATAGCCAACAAGGACCTACTATACAGCACAGGAAACTCTGCTCAATGTTATGTGGCAGCCTGGATTGGCAGTTGGGGGAGGACGAATACATGTACGGCCGAGTCCTTTTGCTGTCCACCTGAAACTGTCACAACATTGTTAATCAGCTATACTCCAATACAAAATAAAAAGTTTAAAAAGAGAGAGAGAGAGAGAGAGACCCATCCCCAAGCACAGAGGAATGCTGATGAGGAGGAATGTTTTCGGATATGGAAATAGACAAAAAATTAACCCTAAAGGGAAGCATGGTGGCATCCTAGGTATGCATGACCATACACTGGATTTAAGTGGCTTCTTTCCATAAAAGAATACAGAGCAGTTTCACACAGAAATAGATGGAAGATGGAACAAGTGGGAAAGTTAAGGCCCTAGATGGGGATTGGTTTTCCCATGAATCCCTGAGAAAAGGTGCTTCCTTCAGCATCGAAATTATTCTAAATGATCAGTCGGAAGGACGTGCTGACATCCTGGAGGTCTGAGTTGGGGGAGGAAGTGAAAAGAGCACTGCAGGTTAATCTGACTCTTAACTGGCATTTTCTCCCTGTATCAGATGGAGGTACAGCTTGGATTACCCAAGAGTCCTTCGACAGAGACGAAACAGACAGCGGGGTGGGGGTGAAGTGGAAAAACGTGGCCAGGCAGCTGAAGGAAGATCTATCCAGCGTCATCCTGCTGTCGGAGGAGGAGCTGCAGGTGAGCGTCCCCCGCAGCCGCGCTCCCCTGGCTTCTGCTGCACTCTGCGTCCTAGTTTCCATGCATCTTGCCGCCATAATTTCATTATTCCTTCATTTTTAAGTAGTTCTCAGATGATAGCCAAGATTCTTCATTTTTCTAATTTTCTTTCTTGGAGTAGAAATTTTTTACTCCTCACTCTGCATCAGAATCACCAGTGGAGCTGTTTTTAAAAAATACAGATGCCACAGCCCCACATAGACTATTCAGGCCCAAGGGTGGAACAGGAGGTACTGCTAAAGAAGGTGAGTTAAATCTCAGCTCCATCACAAGGCTGTAGCCAGTCACTTACCCTCTCTGCTTACGTTTCCTCTCCAGTAAAATTGGGGTAAAAATAGTATGTGATAATTCAGAAAAATTTATTGAACCCCTTCCCTGTATGTGGCATAGTTCTTTGCACAGGGTTACAGGGCTTCCCAGGTGGTCGCAGTGGAAAAGAACCCGCCTACCAAAAAAAAAAGAACCCGCCTACCAATGTAGGAGACCTGGGTTCAATCCCTGGGTCGGGAAGACCCCCTGGAAGAGGGCATGGCAAGCCACTCCAGTATTCTTGCCTAGAGAATCCACATGGACAGAGGAGCCTGGTGGGCTCCAGTCCATGGGATCTCAAAGAGTCAGGCAAGACTGAAACAGTTACCACCCACAGTGGTGAACAAGCCAGACACAGTCCCTGCTCTGATGAAACTCTTAATTCTGGTGGAAGGAGGCAGACAAAACCAGCAGTGTGCCCAGAGGGTGGGGGCTACTCTAGATTGGGAGATTAAGGAAGTCTCCTTGAAGGAGGTGGCCTTTTGGTTATTTTTTAATCTTGTATATTTATTTTGAATAAATAATAGTAATACATTCACATGGTTCAAAATCCAAGAGACACAGCCGAAAATAAAATAATCCAAATGTCCATCAGCTGATGAATAAATAAAATGTTGTCTATCCAAATAATGAACTATTTTATTCAGCCATAGAAAGGAATGAAGTATTAATACATTAGGCTTCCCTGGTGCCTCAGACAGTAAAGAATCTGCCTGCAATTCAGGAGACTCATACTTGATCCCTGGGTCAGGAAGATCCCCTGGAGGAGGGAATAGCAACCACTCAAGTATTCCTGCCTAGAGAATCCCATGGACAGAGGAGCCTGGTGGGCTACCATCCATGGGGTTGCAAAGAGTTGGACAGGACTTAGAGCCTAACAGTGACAGCAGCGTGGAGAAACTTTGAAAAGATTGAAAGAAGTGAAAGAAGCCAGACATGAAAGGCCACAGATTTCATGATAGCATTTTTATGAAATGGCCAAACTGTCCAAGTCCTTAGAGATAGACGGTAGATTAGTGGTTGCTTGGGGGTTGGGTTTCTGGAGACTGTGAGGAGGAATGGAGAGTAACTACTGATGGGTATAGTTTTTTCTGGGCTGGTGACTGTGTTCTAAGACGGTGGTTGTGACTGCACAAAACACAAAAAAGCCCACTCATTTTACTAAACTCCACTCATTTATATGCTTCAATCAGTGAATTGTGTGGTTTGTGAATTATATCTCAATAAAGCTGTTTGGAAAAAACAGATATACAGAAAAAGTCTGACTTCTGTCCCCAGCCACCCAGCTTTCCTTCCTAGAGACAACCAATCTGTCAGTTTACAATTCCAGAGATAATTTATATATGCTATCGCTCAGTCATGACCAATTCTTTGCAACCCCAGGCTCCTCTGTCCATGGAATTTATCAGGCAAGAATACTAGAGTGGGTTGCCATTTCCTACCCCAGGGGATCTTCCCAACCCAGAGACTGAACTCAAGTTTCCTACATTGGCAGGTGGATTCTTTACCACTGAGCCACCTGGGAAGCCCATTTTATATACAATTACATAAATATGTTCTCCTCTTCCACTTTCATCACATAAATGGAAGCATAGGTATTCTATTTCAAAGAAAAACTTGGCACGTTTTCCAGATCACTTTACAAAAGATAGTTCTTTTTTCATCGCTGCATAGTATTCCATTTCATGCCTATATTTTTCTATTTATTTATTTTGCTGTGCCAGGTCTTAGTTGTGACATGCAGGATCTTTAGTCAAGGCATGTGAACTCTTGGTTACAACATTTGGGACCTAGTTCCCTGACCAGGGATTGAACCCAAGCCCCCTGCGTTGGGAAAGCAGACTCTTAGCCATTGGACCATCTGGGAAGTCCCACCATAACTTATTTAATGAGTCTCCCCAGTGGGGGACATGCAGGTTGTTATCAGTCTCGCTATTCAGTCTGTACTGCAAAAACACTTAGACCCGTGTCATTTTGCACATGTGCTTGTCCATAGAATAAATTCATAGAAGTTTAGTTGAGAAACATTGGCAGGTCCCAAGAGGGGACACAGAAATAAACTGAAGAACTAAAGGTACCTGCCATGGAAAAGTTAGGGCCAGGCAGAGGAAAGGCAGGAATTTTTTCTTCTTTGTTTTTTTCTTCTTTAAGAAACAGAAAGGGGTCATGAGATCCCTTCCCATCCCAACAGACTAGCAAATTATGATACCCTTAGGATAAAGAGCATAACAGTCCTCACCAGAACAGGGATGCTGGAATACAAGTGAACCCAGCCCTGAGAGCTAGACTCTACAGAGGCTGGCCACGTGGCAGGTGGGAGAAAAATGGCAGGTAAAGAACCATGGGGAGTGAGAACGGAAGGGAGAGAAGGGAACAGCAGAGGATCCTAAGGATTAGCACTGACACTGATCCTTGCAAAGTTATTAACTGCTCTTGCCTCGTTTTCCTCATCTGTGAAATGGTGGTAATACTAGTACTTCCCTCATAAAGTTTGTGCCTCTTAAATGTTGGCCCTTATGAATGTGTATTAATATTACCTGTTCAAAAATGGATGCAATCTGAAAGTTAAGGGTTAAGGGTGACTTATCAAGTGGCCTCCTCAAAGAAGCCTTTCACAAACTCCAGCAGCCCTCCTTGTCAGTTTCTGCCCTAAGCGTTTTACGTCTGTTTTCTCAGTGGTGCATAGTGAGTGCAGCAAGTGGGATTTTAGTGTCCCAACTAGGGATCGAATCCAAGCCCCCTGCAGTAGAAGTGCAGAGCCTTAACCTCTAGACCACCAGGGACATCCTGTTTTGTTTTTAATAAGGTACTAAAGGCAACATTTTCCTAATTCTTTCACCAGAGGGAAACTGGAAAAATTACATGCCTCTCTCCTGGCTCTCGAGCTTTCCAGGTGGCACTTCCCAGGTGGTAAAGAACTTGCTTGCCAGCGCAGGAGGCTTAAGAGACGCAAGTTCAGTCCCTCAGTCAGGAAGATCCCCTGCAAGAGGATTCTTGCCTGGAGAATCCCATGAACAGAGGAGCCTGGCGGCCTACAGTCCATGAGGTCGTGAAGCGTCAGACACAACTGAAGAGCCTTAGCGCAGCACAGCACAGCACTCCTGACTCTCAGGCAGCCGTATTGGGTAACTTTGGGAACTAGATGAAATGAGTCTTTGAAATTGATGCATTTGAGAGACATAACATCATGTTCGGAAAGTACTTTCAGATGTCTTAAAGCCAGTATTTGTTTGTCAGATGCTCATTGATGTCCCATGTTCGGAGCTGGCTCAGGAACTCGGCCAGAGTCATGTGGCAGTCCAGGGGCTCCAGAACACCCTCCAGCAAGTTCTTGACCAGAGAGAGGAAGCCCGTCAGTCCAGGCAACTTCTGGAACTTTACCTCCGGGCTTTGGAGAAGGAAGGTGGCATCTTGTCAAAGCAGCAAGGTAGGCATTGTGCTGACATCTCGGTAGGAGCCTTTCCTTGAGAGAGAGCGAGGTGCTTCCCATGTGCTCAAGAAGAGTGATGCCACAACTGTGGGTGTTCTAAGATGGCAGGCTGCTATCTGCCCGCCTGATTGCTCTGACTGGTTGTTGGGTTGGCTATGTGTACGCGTGGCATGCTGATGGACCCTCTCTCTCACATCTGCTTTGCAGAGTCCAGAGCTGACCTCGGAGACGAGAGGGATGCTGTTGACACAGGCGTTAGAGAGAGCTCCTCCAAAGTTACTCCTGCAAGCCAGATCCTCTTGGCGCTGAAGGAGAAACCTGCCCCAGAGCTGAGTTTGTCTAGTCAGGATCTGGAGGTGGGCGAGCACCAGGGACTCTGACCTTTGCAGGGAGACACTTGTATCAGGGTTTTTTCACCTCTGCAGACCCTGAATCATAGCTGCCAATTTGCCTGTTATTACAATCTAAGCTTCCCTTGTAGCTCAGTTGGTAAAGAATCCGCCTACAATGCAGGAGACCCAGGTTTGATTCCTGGGTTGGGAAGATCCCCTGGAGAAGGAGATGGCAACCCACTCCAATATCCTTGCCTGGAGAATCCCATGGACTGTAGCCTGTCAGGCTTCCCTGTCCATGGGGTCGCAAGAGTTGGACACGACTTAGCAACTGAACCACCACATGCAAAGCGTTTGCAAATGTCTCACATCATCTAAATCTTAAACAAAATGGGTGCACTTCCTCAGATCATCCGACCTTATTCTCTGGTCCAGAGTAGGTAATGAAATGTCTGACCCCGACAGGGGGGAGTTACAGGACTCAGGCTTCTGAGATGCATCTGCCAGTGGTTGAAAAACATCCACAGGCCCAGAGGTACATGAAATATTCATGGGAAGGACCTGTGCAACGGGGTTGTCTTGTCCTGACTCTCAGACCAGGGAACCCATCAGAGTGGGTGCTCCTCCTTGTCCCTGTCCCCAGCACTACCTCAGTATAGCTAGAAGGGAAAGAGGCTGTATTGAATTGAACTTGGCTAAATTTCCTGCGAGTGGAGGACTTTATGCTCCAAGTAAACTACTCTAGAGGTCCTTTCCTGTTGTTGTACGGTAAGCAGAGGCCTGTGACAGCTTAATAGGAAGGAAACCTGGCATCTCAGCATAAAGCTAGAGACCGATACTGCCGATTCTCACCTCCCCTAAAGAAAATCGCAAGAGCAGCAGAGGGGCTGGTTCACAGTGGTTCTTCTTCTCACTGCAGTTGGTTGCCAAGGAGGACCCTAGAGCACTGGCTGTTGCTTTGAACTGGGACATAAAGAAGACAGAAGCCGTTCAACAGGCCTGTAATCAGGAACTTAGCCTACGCCTCCAGCAGGTGCAGAGCTTACGTTCTCTGAGGAGCATTTCAGCAAGGACGAGTTCGCTGCCTGGAGACATGGAGAACCCCAAACGAACCAGACGAGACCCCATGTAGCTGGCAGCCAGCAACATGCCAAAGAAAACCTTGGGTTTTGTGTCAGTATCAGTAAATACCTTTAGCCTAGTGTCAGTAAATACCTTTAGCCTAATCATTATAGCTACTTACATACTCCTCTGCCCCCTGCCTTTCAGAGTGTTCTCCTGGAACAGACTGGAAGATGGGCTTTGGGTCTTCTTCAGAAAAGCCATTCCAGCTTCCTTCACACATTGAACCATAAGGCTGCACCAGCTCCTCTAATTGCAAGCTCATATGTTCTCGGTGTAATAGTGGTTGTGAAGGGCGTGGAAAAGACACTGTCATGTTTTAGGCCAACTATCCTTTTTTTTTTCTTTTCCTTCTACATCAGACAAATGGTATATCTCTTTCATGATGTAATCTATGCAACCATCATAGTAATGGACCTACTATTCTTTTCCTTTTTTTTTTTTGATGTGGACCATTTTGAAAGTCTTTATTGAATTTGTTCCAACACTGCTTCTGTTTTCTGTTTTGGTGTTTTGGCCCCGAAGCATGTTGGATCTTAGCTCCCTGACCAGTGATCAAACCCGAACCCCTGGCATTAGAAGGCAGATTCTTAACCACTGGACCTTCACGCAAGCACAGAGGCACAATTCTTATTCTAAAGATGGAACTGCAGAATTTTAAACACAAATAATGGTAGAGAAGGTGACGCATCAGTGTTGATTATGGCCACAAACTTGTTTCTCAAGTTAATGAATTTTTTTTGTTTGTTTAAAGGCACATATTAAATTTGCAGACCATAGAGACATACAGAGAGTCTAATTCACTGTTTCTAATATCTAATTCAGTATTGTGAAATTATATCCATTACCACTGTGAAACTTTTCAGTTTTCTAATATGTTTTATCAGCAGGGGGTATAAAAAGGTCATTAAATCGATCTCTGTGAGATACGACTCCAGGTCTCTCTGGGTGCAGAACAGAGACTTCGGGTTTATATTCCTCTTGTTTCTGTACTAACTTGTTCTTCAAGTTTTGTAATCTACAATGCAATTTCTCTTGCAGGGAAAAAGATAATTAGTTATTGACTTATTTGACTTACTTTTTAAGCATACTTAGAGGAAAATGGAATAGTATTAAGAATACATTGGCTAATTATTAAATAAAGAAATGTAACAATAAGTCCTAAGGTGAGGCAGAGATGCAAAAAACAAACAGAACAAAAAGAGCTATTTGCTTCTCCTATGACCTTCCTCAAGGAGGGCTCAGGTCTACTCAGCATACTCCTACTAATGCCTTATGCCATTGGTTCTCACTTGCCCCAATATTTTCTTCTTTAATAGCATATTTTATAATGCCTTCTTAATTATCCTTAAATGAAAGCCAGAGCTGATAACCTACCTACATGTATACCTTCATCAACACAATACCCCCAAATGGAAACAAAGGAAAATAATTTTCAATAAGATGGTCTGTATCTATCTCAGTTTGCCCTTTTCCATAGATGACCATTAAAAGGCACAAGGAAGCTCTCAGGTGCTTATCCTTACAAGTGAATTACCCTGAGTTTGTCAGAAGCAGCCATGCATGGTACATAGTGATTGGTGACTCAAATTCCACAAGCAGTATTGCCCTTCATAATGGGAGTTCCCAAAATAGTGACGTTCTGGGCAGTCTAACACATCTGTCTTTGATTTACAAGGTGGCTGCATTCTTGACAAAGCCAGGAGATGTTAAAACTGGAAAAAATACTTTGTATATAAAACAGAATTAGGTTTGGGGCTGATTTGGAATGGGTTTTCATTCCTGTGAACAGCCAGCATGACATAAAAGTCATGTGGTGGGGGTGGGAGGAAAGACACGTGGGATCTGGAATGATAATTCACTATGTTGAACTGTCCTGTGCTTTGCAGGAAGACTAGCAGCCTACCTCCCACCCCACCCATCCAGTGTCAGTAGCAGCCTCCAGGTACTGAGACAGTTGACAAGAGCCCCCAGGTTCTCAAAATGCCCCTGGAGGGGCAGTAATGCCAGTTGAGGATTTTTATGACAGTTTGCAGTCAGCTCTGTGCCAGCACCTACTACACTGGAGCCTCAAAACTGAGTGAGCTAAAGAGGGTGTGGTGTGCCATCTCTCATTTTGCACATGAGCAAAGTCATGCTCAAGAAGGATCAGTGACTTGCCTCATGTCACAAGGCTAATTGGAGGGCCAGGGTTCAAAGGCAGGTCTTTTGGCTTAATTTTGGTTTGGGGTTTTGGTTTTTTTGGCCATACCACCCAGCTTGTGGGGTCTTAGTTCCCCATCCAGGGATTGAATCTGGGCCCTTGGCAGTGAAAGCACAGAGTCCTAACTACTGGATCACCAGGAATTCCTAGATCTTCTGGTCGAAATCCTGGTGTTCTTTCCACTTACTTGTATTTTCTCTTAAGTCTACATATTCTTCTACTCTACATCCAGATCACTGGTTTTGTTAATTTGTAGTTCAGTCACTCAGTCATGTCTGACTCTTTGTGACCCCATGGACTGCAGCACACCAGGCTTCCCTGTCCTTCCCTATTATTTTGTTTTGTTAATACCAAAATAGTAAGTTGAATTCAGCTCCAAATGGAAAAGACCTAATATGTTTGCAACATGATTGCTAAAAGATTTCTAAATGTAGTCCTTGTGCTGGTAGTGTAAAAGAAGTAAATTAGCCTTGTGAACACTATAGTTAGCACAGTAGCAAAGGAAGCCTGGGTTCCAGAAATAATAGAACAGCATCTCTATTTAACAGCTGTATCAGCAATTATCTCTATTCACCAATTTTATCAGCATCTCCATCTTTGCCCTACTGAATGAAAAATGTTTTCTTCAGTTATTACACAGTAGAGCTTTAGTTGATGGGCCAGGTGTTGGTATTGGTCTTCTGTATTAGAAACAAACCTGCTGAGCATCTCAGCTGCGTAGGAGAATAGAAAAAGTACTTTGGCCTTTGGAACGAGACAAACCCACATGGAGTCTAACCTTACGGGAGAGTGGTTTCCAAAAATGAAAGGTTAGCCTAAGGCCCCAAGGTGGAAGGGGTTAAATTAAATGAAGGAAGTTGGAGGATATCACCGACTCAATGGACATGAGTTTGAGCAAGCTCTGGGAGATGGTGAAGGACAGGGAAACCTGGCGTGCTGCAGTCCATGGGGTCACAAAGAGGCAGACAAGACTGAGCGGCTGAACAAGTATGAGGAAGAGCACAGTACCAGCACAGCATATAGAGTGAATGGTTCCCTTTCATTGCCCCAGGGCCAGAGAGAGGTGGGTGGGAACGGAGACCTTAGTCTGCAAACCCTAGACCAAATGTAGAGTCAAAAGTTATTTTGCCCCAGGTACCGCTTACCTCCCCTACACCACTGTGCCTCCAGGCCTTCTAGAATAGAACGTAGCAGCAGAGCAATAGTCTAAAAATAGGAGAGAGAGAGAGGGAGCAGGGCACAGCCTATGTTAGGAGGAAAGACTGTCAAAGAAAGCAACTGGGACTAATGAACTCTACATTAGCCATATTCCATTCTTTCGACTCAAGTCAAATGTCGGTCCCCATTAGGCAATTGGCTTTGACAGGAGCCATGCTAATTACCACTTACCAACCTTTAATTTCTGGGTAAAAGCAAAAGGAAAAAAAACTAATGGATTTTTCATTTTCCAGAAAGAAAGGAATAAAATAATAGTAGTCTGTTAAAAAATGCATTAATTACAAGAATTATTAATGTGCCTTTACTCACCAGATTTTTTAATTTCCTAATTAACTTTTATTATCTTTTTTTTTTTTTGCCTTCAGCATTTCTTTTCCTATTTTGTTGTATTTTGCCTTAAGTTATTTTGGCTGTGTCTTATATTACTTGAGGTTTTTAAGGACCTTAGAAATTATCTGCTCCAAATATCCACTGCCTGAATCTGCAACACAGCTGACAGGGTGAGGTCCTCTGCACTGTCAGGAAGCCCCCAGTAAAAGGAACAGATCCCCTCCTCCCCAGGAAATGCACTGAATTTTCAGATCGCACATCCTTAACATTGGCTGTTTGGTCAAACTAAGTCAGACAACACTTCCACAATTATCAATACAAGGAAGTAACCAACAGGTTACTGCAGAGCTATGAGATTTTCTTCAGTATTCTCTAACACCATGTTACAGGAACTATCACCATGAAAATTCTGGCTTTTCTCCAGCTTACAGTTATTTTAAAAATAGTTTATTTATTTATTTATCTGGCCGTGCCAGGTCTTAGCTGTGGCACACAGGATCTTTTAGCCGTGGCATGCGAACTCTTAGCTGCAGCATGTGGGATCTAGTTCCCTGACCAGGGATTGAACCCAGGCCCCCTGCATTGGGAGCATGGAGTCTTAGACAGGTGACCACCAGGGAAGTCCCAACTTACAATTATTTTAATAAGAACAGAATGTGTATCTTTTATCACTTAACTATTTAATTATAGACAAAAAGGATAAATTAGTGTTTTTATTAAAGTTATGAGAAGCTAGAAAAGGGGTTCCCCAGTGTCTTTGCCTCGTTCTTTCTAGCCTAGGAATAGGAACTTCCTTCTTCTTAACAGCTGATTGACATATCCTCTTCTGATTTCTTTAAGATCAAATCCCTGTCTCTCCTAAAGAAGCTGCCGTTATTAAGATGTAGGTAATCCCTTCAGCAGGCGCTGTCAAGTCAAGGATATGTATCCCCCATGAGCTCACAGGCTAAGTTTCCACTGAAATGGTTTGCTGTCAGCCCTAACATTCGAATACTATGAAAGGACTTCTATTGAATGCTTATGTCACATCAGTTCTTCCTTAGCAGTTAAGGATCTACTCTGGTGACAAATACTGGAAACAAATGTGAGAGAATGAGTTAGCAGCCATCCAGGCCTTGATGTCCTAGATCTGCACATTTGACTATACTGAACTACACAAACGCAGATGAATGAAAGTCGTTCAGTCGTGTCTGACTCTTTACAACAGCGTGGACTATACAGTCCATGAAATTCTCCAGGCCAGAATACTGGAGTGGGTAGCCTTTCCCTTCTCCAGGGTATCTTCCCAACCCAGGGATCGAACCAGGTAGGATTAAAGTCTACCAAAAACCTGATGGTAGGAAATTACCCTAGTTTACTAATGATGAGCATGTTAATCTAGTTTAGCATGCAGTTGATGCCAGTTTACATTTTTCTAAGGCCCCTGAACTAAGGTGGGCTTAAACTTGATGGATTTCCTGGAGGTGCCGTTAAGGTAGCCGCATTTCCTTCAGATGTTGCTTAGTTAAAAGCTCCCATCTCTAAACTTTTCCGGTGCTCCTCCTGCCAATAGAGGGGACACAGGTTCGACCCCTGGTCTGGCAAGATCCCACATGCCATGGGGCAACTCAGCCCATGCCCCACAGCTCCTGAGCCCACCCACCCTAGAGCCCAGGCACCAGTGCTCTCTTGGTGACAGCACTGCAGTGAGAAGCCTGACACCACAATGAAGAGTAGCTCTCACTCGCCGCAACTAGAGGAAGCTCACACACAGCAACAAGGACCCAGTGCAGCCAAAGATAACATTTAGTTTTTTAAAAAGTTAAAATCCCTAATCCTAAGGAATGTGTACGTGTGGCCCTAAGCAAAACTGAAAGACAGCATGCTTTTCTTCTAGAAGAATCTTAAATCCTGAAGGTCAGCTGGCCTTTCAGGCAGGCATCTTCCACCAGTGTGCTGACCCACTTGCAGGTCCCTGAAAGCTGCTGTGTTTGAAAATGAGGAGGCTATTAAGACTCTTCCATCACATTATACTTCACTCAGCTAGCAATTATGAATATGAGCTTAGCTCTGTGGAAGACGGAAAGGAACGGTCAGCAGTCATACTTTGTGAGTCTGTTCCCCTGGTATCCAGAGAAGAAAACATCCTCTCAATGCCTTCCAGCTAGCCTTTGCCAGTTTTCCTGATACTAATCCTGACCATCAGAAACTTTCCTTAACTCCTGGTAGGAATCTCTAAGCTTTAAAGTTTAGCATCTAAAAAAACCACATGCTGGAAGTTTTCTTTAGCATCTAGGATTTAAGAGCCGTAAACAAGGTGTGTAATCAAGGAAGGATTCCGGGGCTAATGGGGAGTATTAAAATTTGATTAGGGTTTGAACCTGAGCATGTGTTTACTCCCACCTCCATCTGAGCAGACCCAGATCCTGGTCCAGGTGAGGCTCAACAGTTGCTTTGTGTTCTCTTTAACAGAAAGAGAAACGAGAAAGGAATCTCCCCCTCCTTTCACCATCATCCACTTACTTCTGTGGGAAATTATTGAGGAATGGGAAAATGAAACATTTATATACATAATAAATTTCAATACATATGCCTCTGTCTCAGACCAAGTCCAGATCCTGCGACTCTGTAGGTCCCAGAGTTTGTTTGTTTTTCTGTTTTCTTTGACCTTGAGGCCCGGCTTGCAGGATCTTGCTTCCCCGACCAAGGATTGAACCCAGACCCTCAGCAGCAAAAGGGCAGAGCCCTAACCATTGGACCACCAGGGAATTTCCTGGAGGGCCTTGTATTAAAAGTTAAAGCAGTCAAACTACAGGCTGAGAAGTAGCACCACTCACTCTGTTTGGTTTGAAATAAACCTGAAGCTCTCATCCATAAGAATTGCAACAGCAATATTAACTTACTGATTACCATTAGTATGGGTATTTTACAACAGCAGGTTCAAATGGAACTTTAAGCATGTCATCATGATGTTGTCTGTTTAATTATAGCATATTTGTTTTCAAATTAATTTTGGCCAAAATATGAGGGATAATCATTTTGCTCTTTGAGAACAGTGTTTAAAAATTGCTTTTAATATGAGGGAAATTCATTAGACAGTTTATATCAAAGTAAACTGAAATGTTATTCTGGACACTTAACTATGTAGCTTTTACCTATTATAAATCAAAGCAAGGAAGATGAGGAAAGAACAACTTCTAAGCACAATGAATGTGGAAGGAAAGCCCCATGATTGCATTGACAATAATGGCAAAAGCCACAAAAATCTTTATCAAAAATTCTCTTCTTTGATCAAACCTGTGGTTGCCAAGGGGATGGGGGAGGGAGGGGGATGGACTGGGAGTTCAGAGTTAGTAGATCCAAACCATTACATTTAGAATGAATAAACAAGGTTCTCCTCCATAGTACAGGGAACTATATCCAGTTTCCTGGGATAAGTCATGATGGAAAAGAATATTTTTTAAATGTATATCATATATATATATGTATGTATGTATACATGGGTCACTTTGCTATACAGCAGAGATTGGCACAACATTGTAAGTCAACTCTACTTCAGTAAAAAATAAATAAAAATAAAATACTCTCTTTGGGTTCCAAATTACTGAAAACATCTAGTAGTAGGTGTTTTTAAAGTTTACATAAAACCTACTTTTCAAAGTACATGAGAAAGAGAAGACAACTGCACAAAGAAGAAACATCACAGCTGCTTATGAATACATTTTATTCAGATCCACTGTTACACTCCTTTGCACGAGTAGTTATGGGTGGGGTTTTACTTGCAGGAGGAGAAGGTCTTCCAAAAGAAATTCTTGCAGGGTGTTGTATCTTGGCGTGTGGACTGATGGAGGGGTGCGCCTTCCTGCCGTTTGGATGCCTCGCTGGCTTCCCCTCCTACGAAGGGCACTGCCCTGGCCTGGGAGGCCCACTCGTACCACCACGCAAGCAAAGTCAACAGGCTGTTTGTCTTTATTTCTGCCACTTCCTGCATGTGCTTTTAAAAAGAAGCAGAGGACGAAGGAAAGACAAATCAATCATCTGATTCAGCCAGCATTAAGATATAATAATTCCTTCCTTTAAAAAAAAAAAATGATGCTCCAGAACAACAAACCATATTTCCATTTAAAGGATGAGAAAGTTAAGGGACATGACTGAAACAACTTAGCATGCATACAAAGTTAAGAGAACACCTCAAGAGAATTGCTCTAATCAGAGAAAAGAAAAACTTGAATATATTCAATCAAGAAAAAAAATCTGTTTTGCCCCTAATCTTTTTAATTATAAGAGGTTGGGAGATGTCTCCTTTTCCCTGACAAGTGACTGGCAGTTAAGAAGCCCCCCAAGTTAGATGAGGCTCCTTTCACTTGGTTTCCCATCTCTCCATCTCTGGTCTTACTCCTGGCTGTCCACAAATTGATTTTAAAGACAGATCAGATTGAGACATTATATTCTGGCCTTTCAGACTCCTTAGAAAGCTTTAAGGAGTAATCTGATGATGAATGGCTTGTCTGGAACTCAGCTGCTAATTTCAGGGAAAAATCCATTTTTAATGGTCAACTTTATGTACTCTTTCTTGGAAGTTTTTCAAAATGAAAAAAAAGAGAAGTAAATCACCTCATTAAGTTACAACTTCTCACAATGGAAAATGTAATGATGTCAATTAAGCCAGTGAGAACCTGGGCTGTATGTATAAATTAAGATTCTACAAGTAAGTGTGACTAACGCCGCAGTAGCGGCAGCAGTAGACCAATTGCACTGCAGTAGGCCAGTGTGATGGCTTTGTGTTTCAAAGACTGGCAGATAGAGATCACTAGCTTAAGACGCTCCCCTTAATGTCAGCGTTCTCCAACAAGTTTCCTAATGACTGAAGATGATGCTGAGTCAATGGTCTCTGTGAACATCACAGCACTGGGCAGCTGGGGGGCCACGGCAAAGTCCAGCCCTGCAGTCTGTGCTGTACACACACTCAGCCACAGAGAAGAGGGGGGACCCACAGGTGGCCAGATGTGCCAAGGGAAGGGACAGCTCACAAGAGGGTGAGCACACAGCCGAGTCAGTCTACTTACCCCGCTCTCGTGGCCGGCGAGGCTGCCCTCTGGGAAGAGGGCAGTGGCGGCCCCCAAGGGCAGCAGCAGCAGCGGCGGCAGCAAGCAGAGGGCCAGCATCTTGCAGGCTGGCTGGTACTTGTCTCTAGCTCTGGGGCTGCTCATCCTGCTTGGCAGCCCCTGAAACCAGTGCTTTGTGGATTTGAGTCTCTTCTCTGCAGACTGAGGGGGCTATTTTCAGCTCAACCTGCAGCTGTTTTTTTTTGTATATATGCCTATCTAAAGCCTGTACCCCCTCTCCCCTCACATTCAAGTGGTGACGCACAAGCCTGAGCAATCAGTGCTCACAAAAGTGCTTCAGGACTGGATTTAACCCCTTCATTAAAGCCTCAGCGCTCTTCCTGTGTCAAGAGTGGATTTGCTCCTACTTGGGGATGCATGTGTGCTTGCCTAGAAGTTCCACCTCCTCGCAATTATGCCAAAGCAATCAGGAAGTCATGAGAACAAAACCAAGTGATTTAACATAATACAAAATTAGCCCTGAATAAGGAGTTTATGGTGATGAAAACAGTCAATCCTAAAGGAAATCAACCTGAATATTCATTGGAAGGACTGAAGCTGAAGCTCCAATACTTTGGCCACCTGATGGGAAGAGCCAACTCACTGGAAAAGACCCTGATGCTGGGAAAGTTTGAGGGCAGGAGAAGGGGGTGACGGGATGAGACAGTTGGGTGGCATCACTGACTCAATGGGCATGAATTTGAGTAAACTCCGGGAGATAGTGGAAGATGGGGAAGCCTGGTGTGCTGCAGTCTGTGGGGTCGCACAGAGTCAGACATGGCTGAGCAACTGACCAACAAGGAACACCACCTGCTTCCCAAGTGGTGCTAGTGGTGAAGAATCTGCCTGCTAAAGTAAGAAACTAGGGTTCGATCCCTGGGTCAGGAAGATCCCCTGGAGAAGGGAATGGCAACCCACTCCAGTCTTCTTACCTGGAGAATTCCATTGACAGAGGAGCCTGGCGGGCTACAGTCCATGAGGTCGCAAGAGAGTCAAACATGACTGAGCGACTAACATTTTCAACAACAAAGGAACTTAAAATCTGCAATTTTGCCCACATGAAAGAATGACTGAATCAGCTTGGGCAGAACAACAAGGAGATGGTGAGGACTCTGGGAGTCGCTCAGAGCATCCACTGGTCTCACCAGACCAGCTCGGGTCACCAAGTGCTGGTTCCCCACACCACCTCCCTGCCAGCAGGCCACGGTCCTCTGGCCCAGGCTTTCCCAAACTGTGATCACCTTTTGTTGGCATTCAATTGCCAAGTCGTGTCCAAGTCTTTGCCACCCCATGGACTGCAGCACTCCAGGCTTCCCTGTCCTTCACTATCTACTGGAGTTTGCTCAAATTCATGTCCATTGAGTCGGTGATGCCATCCAACCATCTCATCCTCTGTTGCCCTCTTCTCCTGCCCTCAATCCTTCCCGGCATTGGGGTCTTTTCCAATGAGCCAGCTCTTTGCATCAATCACCTTATTAAGGTGGAAATGCAGATAGATTCTTCTTTTCTTGGCCATACCTCGAGGCATGTGGAAATTCCCCAACCCAGGCCGGCTCCCCCCAGTCTGCCCCCTGCCGCCCTGCCTCACCTCGCCCTGCCTGCAGTGGAAGCGTAGAATCTTAGCCACTAGACCCCCAGGGAAGCCTAATGGATGCCCTACACTTGACCAGCTCCCAGGGTCTCCTCTCCTTCTGATGACAGCTCCACTGCCGAGAATCCACATCAAGCTGTCTCTGTCACCCCTGGTTCCTCCTTGCAGGTCCCAGGTTCAGAATCACACAGACAAATGTACAGACCCTCTTCACCTGAGACAGCTAAGAAAATCAGAAACATCCACCACAAACCTACTAAGATGACGTTAGAGGCCAGGTTCTAAAGGGAAGTAAAGCGACCAAAGAACTGATGGCACGTTCCAGAAGTGAACGCTGACACTTTCAGTTTTCCAAAGTGCTGGTTCACACCCCTCCACAAGGGAAATCTCAACTTTAAATTTCATTGCACTGCACATTTGTTAAGATGCTAGGTAAGATTGGCACAGCCAAATGACCCACCGTGGGCCATAAAGTGCATCTTGCTTTAGTCCTTTTTCTGTACCCAAATTTTTTTTTTGCCTAATTCCCACAAATGATATTTTAAAACGTTTAGATTTTCTTAGGGCTTCCCTGATAGCTCAGTTGGTAAAGAATCTGCCTGCAATGCAGGAGACCCCAGTTAAATTCCTGGGTTGGGAAGGTGCCCTGGAGAAGGGAAGGGCTACCCACTTCAGTATTCTTGCCTGGAGAATTCCAAGGACTGTATGGAGTCCATGGGGTCGCAAAGAGTCGGACAGGACTGAGTGCCTTTCACTTCCACTTCACTTTCATGTCTTTTAAATTTGAAACCAGTTCAACATTTTAAAAATTTAATGGGAAATAATGGAGGTAGAACCAGTTTGTCATCTACCGTCTTGACTGAGCCACGAAACGTGAAGGAGGTGCATATAGTCCTTTCCCACTTTTTTTCCTCTGAGTGTATTTTGATATATTTTGTATATATACTGTATATTCCATGAGGTCGCAAAAAGTCAGATATGACTGAGCGACTTTCACTTCAGATATTCTTACAGATGAGAGAATCATGGTAGCTCACCCAGCTTCTTATAGCTTTAGAATATTTTGAAGATTTTGTTCCATGAACTCATTGAACACTGAATACCTAGCGTGTACTACATAGGACAAAGACCATCCACCCTGACAGGGCTGTTCCAGCCTCTCTAAGGGGCAGGATACATGCTCTGCAAATGAGAGAAAAGTAAAATTTCAGTGTGACATGTGCCAAGGAAGGTTATGAGCTGCAGGCTGGGGAAGGCTTTGTCATCTTATTACTGGCTGCTTTCAAGGAGGTGGCAATGTATCTTAGTACTTCCAGGTGAGGGCTCTAGACTAAATTCCTGGTTTTGCCATTTAATTAACCTCTCTAGAGTCTCAGGTTCCTCATCTATAAAATAGGGATAAAAATACTACCTACTGCCTATATCATAGAATTGTGAGAATCAAATAAGATCATGATAAGCACCTAACACAGGTGGAAAACACAACAGGACTCACATTAGGAACTGTCACTAAGATATCCTGGGACTTTGCTGGCGGTCCGTTGGCTGATCCAGGAAGATCCCACATACTGCATAGCAATGAAGCCCAGGCACCTGAGAGCCCATGCTCTGCAACTAGAGGCCACTGCAATGAGAAGCCCACACACCACAAGAGAAAGCCTGCACACAGCAGCAAAGAACCAGCACAGCCAAAAATATATTTTTTTTAAGAAGGTACTCCAAGTCCTTATTCCCCACAGTATAAAGAAAAGTTCCCCACCATAAGACAATGGAAATCCCTGGTGAGAGTCATGAAACCCAAGCAAGGGCTCCTCCTCCCGTGTGCCTCCGCTGCCCATCTCAGGCTCCAGGGACCCAGTATTCATGGGGCACCTGTCGTGTGTGTGTGTGTGTGTGTGTGTGTGTGTGTGTGTGTATGGCCCTACACAAGGCACCAAGTGATCACCATTATGGGGCACCTGTCGTGTGTGTGTGTGTGCACGTGTGTGTATGGCCCTACACAAGGCACCAAGTGATCACCATTATGGGGCACCTGTCGTGTGTGTGTGTGTGCACGTGTGTGTATGGCCCTACACAAGGCACCAAGTGATCACCATTATGGGGCACCTGTCGTGTGTGTGTGTGTGTGTATGGCCCTACACAAGGCACCAAGTGATCACCATTTCCAAGCCCGCCCATAGGGAGCTGACAATCTAATGTTTTATGCAAGAAAGTGTGTTTCTGAAAAGATGTACTATGGGAACTTGGATTAAAAGGGACTCAGTACTGGATTATTTTGAAAAAGAGAGATTGTTTCTTCTAAAAGGCAGAACTAGGACCTAGATGGAGAAGGCAACGGCACCCCACTCCAGTACTCTTGCCTGGAAAATCCCATGGATGGAGGAGCCTGGTAGGCTGCAATCCACGGGGTCGCAAAGAGTCAGACACGACTAAGCAACTTCACTTTCACTTTTCACTTTCATGCATTGGAGAAGGAAATGGCAACCCACTCCAGTGTTCTTGCCTGGAGAATCCCAGGGATGGGGGAGCCTGGTGGGCTGCCGTCTATGGGGTTGCACAGAGTTGGACACGACTGAAGTGACATAGCAGCAGCAGCAGGACCTAGATAGAGGGTGAAAGACTTTTCTCTACACACAGAAAAAACCTGCAACAATCTAGTGTCCACTAACAGAAGGGGCACTCTGCACCTGAGGAGTTCAGAAGAGCCTAGGGGACCTCAGTCATCAGTGCTGCAGAAGGGCTTCCTACTTGGTGAGAAGACTGGACTCCATGACCTCTAAGGGTTCTTTACAGATTCCACAATTCAGTAAAGGCAGTAAACGGGCCCTGATTACACTTTCCCAGAGGTCTAGGTGTCGAGGTACCAGCTGTATATGACAAGTGTCGACCAGCATATTCCAGCTGTTGCTGTGTATAGAAGGGGATGCTTTGGAACTTCCCCGGTTTGTTAATTTAGTAATAAAAAACTAACGCAGGATCTTTTATTTCACCTTTTTTGGGGGAGCTGGTATAACAAGACAACAAACATTATAAATGTAAATTGCCCCAACTATGTTACCAGGCCACATCTATTTCAAAGATGTGTGCTGCTTTATATGGCCAGTCAGCTGGTTATACAGTTAATAAATCTAAAGTTCAGACGAGCTTCCAGGACTCTAAGGAAGCAAGCCTGTGAGAAAGAGCCCTACAACTCCTTTCTGCCAATGGTCAACAAAGATGGCATGGGAAAGGATGACTGACATCACATGGACATGCCAGAGTAAACTAAACCCTGAACAGAACATGCAGTGGGCAAGAGGCAGTTCCTGAGAACTCAGGGTTACACCCAGCTACTCCTTACAAAGTCTGACCACCCCTGTGTTATAATTCCTGAAGAATGTGTGGTAGGACCACTTGTCTAAAATATAAACAGGTAAGGGACTTCCCTGTGGTCCAGTGGCTTAAGAGTCCACATTCCCAATGCAGGGGGTTTGGGTTCAATCCCTGGTCAGGGAACTAGATCCCATTCAAATAAGAGTTCACATGCCACAACTAAACTTTCTTTGTGCCAAAACTAAGACTGGTGCAGCCAAATAAATAAATCAGTATTTTAAAGTAAATAAAAATACTGTGATAACGTATGAAGAAATACTCTCTGAAG